GCAATGTTGTCCATAGCTTGTCATGATCCACACAATCGAAAGCCTTTATATAGTCAATAAAGCACAGGTAAACATTTTTCTGATATGCTCTGCTTTCAGCCAAGATCCTTCAGACATCGGCAATGATATCCATCATTCCACGACCTCTTCTGAGTCCAGCTTGAACATCAGGAAGTTCTCCGTCAATGTATGCTTGCAGCCATTTCTGTATTACCTTTAGTAAAACTTTACTCACATGAGATATTATATGTACCTGTACTTTATTGACTATGCAATGGTTTTTACTGTATGGATAATGACAAGGTATGGACCACATTGTGCAGAATGAGTATTCTGGAACACTTATTTATGTTCCTGAAGAATCTGTACATAGACCAAGAGGCAATTATTCAATCAAAACAAGGAACACTGAATGTGTGTGCCAGGCTTGTATTCTTGAATCATGCTTATTCAATTTGCATACCGAGCAAATAATTTGAGAAACTGGATTATATGAAGAAAAATTTGGCATCAGAATTGGAGGAAGACTCATTAACAACCTGCAATATGCAGATGATGCAACCTTGCTTGCTTAAAGCCAAGAAGATTTAAAAAGTTTATTGATGAAGATCAAAGACTATAGCCTTCAGTGTGGATTGCACCTCAATGCAAAGAAAATAAAGAGCATCACAAATGGACAAATAACTAACATCATGGAAAATGGAGAAGAAAATGAAATTTCCAAAGACTTCATTTGCTTGTATCCACTAAGTGAAGGGGACCACTGAGATTACCATTCAGTCTAACCTCATGGTCCAGTGCCACATCAGAACTCCTTAAGACACAATTGTTGTTGTTGTTAGGTGCCATCGAGTCAGTACCAACCCACAGCGACCTTATGCACAGCAGAACGAAACACTGCCTGATCTTGAGCCAACCTCAATACTGTTGCCACGCTTGAGTTCATTGATGCTGCCATTTTGACAATCCATCTTGCTGGGGGTCTTCCTCTTTTTCTTTGAACCTCTGCCTTACCAAACATGATATCCTTCTCCAGTGACTAGTCCCTCCTGACAATAAGCCCAAAGTATGAGAGACGAAGTTTGGACATCTTAGCCTCCAAGGAGCACTCTGGCTCCACTTCTTCCAAAATGGATCTACTGGTTCTTTTGGCAGCCCATGGCACTTTCAATATTTTCCTCCAACACCATAACTCAAAAGCATCAATTCTTTTACAGTCTTCCTTATTCACTGTCCAGGTTTCACATGCATATAAGGTTATTGAAAATAACTTAATGACTCAGGCGCACCTTAGTCCTCAAGATGACAGCTTTGCTCTTCAACACTTTGCTGCTTCCATGAGTGTTGATAGTTGATCCCAGAAGAATGAAGTCCTTGACAACTTCAATCTTTTCTCCATTGATAAGAAGGTTGTTTATTGGTCCAGTGGTGAGGATTTTTGTTTTCTTTACATTGAGATGTAATCCATAACAAAGGCTGTGCTCTTTGATCTTCATCAGGAAATATTTTAAGTCCTCTTCATTTTCAGCAAGCAAGGTTGGATCATCTGCATATCGCAGGTTGTAAATAAGTCTTCCTCCAATCCTGATGCCACATTTTTCTTCATATAACCTAGCTTCTCAGATTATTTGCTTAGCATACAGGTTGAATAAGTATGGTGAAAGAATACAACCTTGTCTCACATCTTTCTTAATTTTAAACCATTGAGTGTTCCTATGTTCTTTTTGAACAACTGCCTCTTGGTCCAGGTACAGATTCCTCATGAACACAATCAAGTGTTCAGGAATACTCTTATTTCTCAATGTTGTCCATAGCTTATCATGATCCACACAATCGAAAGCCTTTGCATAGTCAATAAAGCACAGGTAAACATCTTTCTGGTATTTTCTGCTTTCAGCCAAGATCCATCAGATATCAGCGATGATATCCCTCATTCCACAGCATCTTCTGAATCTGGCTTGAACCTCTGGAAGTTCTCTTTCAGTGTATGAATGTAGCCGTTTCTGTATTACCTTTAGTAAAACTTGACTCACATGGGATATCAAAGAGATTGTCTGATGATTTCCACATTCCGTTGGGTCACCTCTCTTTGGAATGGGCATTAGTCCTTAATTAGATTGAAGAATTTCCCTCATATTCCTATTTTTCTGAGAATTTAAATCAAAAATGAGTGTTAAAGTTTGTCAAATGCCTTTTCCTCATCAATTAGTATGATAATGTGTTTATTTTTTGTGGCGCTCTGGGTTAATGTGCTGGACTACAAGGTCAGTTTGAACTTCAAAGTTAGCAGTTCAAGCTCACCAACCACTTCACAGAAACCTCATACAGGGTCACTATGGGCGGGAACTGACTCAATGACACTCAACAACAAAACAGCAAATTTATTTGATGTATTACTCTAATTTTAATGAGTATGTGGTATGAATCCCACTTGGTCATGATGAATTATTGTTTTTTGATTCTATTGGCTAGGATTTTGTTGAGAATTTTTACATTGATATTCAAGAAGGATGTTGGTATATAATTTTCTTTTTTAGTAATGTCTTTGCCTGTTTTTCTGTAAAGTTTATAAAATGAATTCAGGTGTAGTCTATGTTATTGGTGTTCTGGAATAGTTTGAATAGAATCTGTTTCAACTCTTCTTTGAATGTTTGGTAGAATTAATCAGTGAAGCCATCTGGGCAAGGATTGTTTATTTGTTGTTGACAGGTTTTTTTGTTTTTTGTTTTTTTTTTAAATCTGTTCAAGTTCTTGTTTCTACCTCCAATTGTGTTAACTTGGGTAGGTAGTATGTTACTGGAAATTTGTCCATTTTCTAGTTTTTCAAGTTTGCTGGAGTACTATTCTTTATAGAGTTCTGTTATCCTTTTTATTTGGTTCTGTTGTGCCATTGCCATTTTATTTCCTATTCTTTTTATTTGTATCTACTCCTTATTTTCTTATTAAATTTGCCAGTGGTTAGTCGACTTTATTAATAAACAACTTTGAGTCTTGAGTCTTTCTAGTGTTTTCCAGTTTTACTAATTTTTAATCTTTATTATTTCCTTTCTTCTGGTGGCTGTAGACTTTTTTAAAAAAATATATATTTGTTTTATTTTTTCAAATGACTTGGTAATATTTCATTACCTTCTTGCATTATAATTGATTGTCACAGTTTCTTTCTCTTTCAACCTTGTTGCTATTATATACTTTGTTATTAGGGTTCCTGTTCATTCATTCATGAGTTCTTTATAAATAAAACCTGTTTAAACATGAGTTTGTGATTAGTGGACAAGTTCTCTCAATAATAGCTTGTCTTAGTTTCCTTCTTGTTGTTGTTATTTGGTTCCATCCAGTCAGTTCCTACTCATAGCGATCCTATGTACAACAAAACAAAACAACATTGCCTGGCCATGAGGCATTCTCATCATTGTTTCTTGTTTTAAGTTTTTATTGTGAATTGAGTGATAGTTTACATGGGAGAACATTGATTTTACACCATCGTTTCATTGCAACGATTACAATCTCCTCCATGTATCATCATTCAATAGTATTTGCTTCCATTAGCTGTTTGTTTTTTTGTTTTTTTTTAGGGTAGGGGGTAGGGGAAAGGTAACAGGGATGTACACAAAAACACTCAGGAGTAATAATAATTTAAACAATCAAAGGGCACATTCTGCAAGCCTGCCTCCTGGCCACCAGCACTCAGCCTTTCTCTTTCCATGAATCTAGACTCCTCTGCCACTCCCCCTGTCCATGTCCCCATCTCTGCTTCCATCTCTGGTATTGCTGCTTCTCTGGAAAAAGGTCTCACATTTTGCTGTGCTCTTCTCCCTTGATGGTCCTAGGGTCCTCTGTTTCTGGACTGTAAGACTAATTACTCCCATGTTTTTGCTACAAAACTGCTGCCTTTACAATTGTGACAGCTGCAATTAGTCATGATAACATTACTATTGAATCATAAGAATCTTATCCTCATCTCGTTTTACTAGACACGATGAAAACTATTCAGTGGGTACTCTTTCTTCCCCCACACACTATTAAACTAAACTTTCCCTTGAAACCTTATAAGCCAGTCACTTTGTGCCTTTATCACCCCCTCATTTTAGGTAGCCAGTGTCTAAGTTGCCCATCCCTATCTGCCCTGTGTACAGAGGGGATAGCATTGATACTTGATGTGTTACTACTTCCATGAGTATAGGTCAAGTTCATCAAACTGTAGCAATTTACCTGTTTCCTTTATCAAAAATTGTTTTGTTCTTTTTCGTCTTCCTCTAGTTGAGTTCTGATTATCAAGTCATTGAGGCTAGGTCAAATGGATACTATCTGCAACTTTAGGTGTTCTTGTGCACCTCCTCTCATCACCTGAAGTTTTATTGTAGATTCTTTTTGATTGCAGGATATTTCATACACTTGAAAAAGTACAGTCGTCTCTGGAACAAGCACACTACTGGAAAGTCTTTATAGGATTTATCAGGAAGACTTGTGAAGTGGCTCAGAAAGTGAATATACAAGAAAATTTTCACAGTGGCCAGATCAGTAAGTCAGTCACCTTAATTATAGGAATGTGGTGTTTCTCTTCCGTTGTAGGAGACCATCCTATTCAATAAATAGGAGTTCTAAATGGGAGCTCTCCAAGTACAATTTTTTATTTTGATGACTGCATTCAATTTGCTTCAAGCAATATGGCTATACTGACTAAAAATCCTGCTTTGACCAGATGAGGTTGTTTCAGCACAGCTTCTAGCAATGCCCTTTCCTTCTCAAAGGATGATTTGGATGATAGATAATTATATGTGCAGTCTAAGTCTAGCCATAAAGAGTTCAGATTTACTACATAAGTAAATGGTCTTCCATTCCACTTAGGTCCACCCTGAACACTGAGGAATTGCCCCATGTAGTGTATAATCATTTCTTGCCTTGCCACTCTCCCCAAACCAAAACTTTCCTAAAATGTGAATTTTTAAAATCTGCAACTGCACAATTCACAGGAGTCACCCTGTTCTCCTAAAGACCCTTTTTAAAGACAGTGATGGCTGAGTGGTACTTGAATTTCTGATCCTCTATCCTCTTCCTGGAGTCCTGGTGTGACACTGTGGGTTAATGTACTGGACTGCAAAGTAAGTTTGAATTGCAAGGTCAGAGGTTCAAGTTCACCAGCCTCTTCTTAGAAACCCTATACAGTGTCAGAACCCACTCCATGTCACTTAACAACAACAACAACAACAACAACAATCATCTTTCTGGTGTGGTGTACTGTAGGATAATCACTGGACTGCTAACCTCAGGATCAGTGGTTCAAACCTAACCATCATTCCTCAGATACTCTATATATGGTTGCTATGAGTCATAACGGACTTGGCAGCACTTAAAAACAGCAGTCTTCTTCCTGATCCAAAGTTGGTCATATATTTTCAACTCTCCTACAAAGATCAGGCTCAGTCCTTGTTTTCTAGTATATGCTATCATTGTTCCGTTGTGGAAGTTACCAGCTCATCACTAGAACACCTGTATTCTTTTTGGGTAGAGAAAGAGTTTCTTAATTTTTTTTTGTCAGATTTTCTGTCAGTTTATAGTCAAGTTATATTGAATAATTATGGGTCATATTTTCCTGCCTACATGCATGATAATTTGTTATTGGATGACTAAAATAGATTTTACCTTCTTTTATGTTGGTTATTTTGTTGTTGTTGTTAAGTGTTGCTGAGTCGGTTCCACTCATAGTGACCCTGTATAAGGTTTCTGAGGAGTGGCTGATGAGCTTGAATCGCCGACATTGCCACTCAAATTGACCTTGAAGTACAGCACATTAACCTACAGTGACACACCAGGATTTTGTAATTCCATAAATATTTTGTAGTCCTATAAATATTCTTGTCTTTCTTTTGGGATGCACTTCATTAATTTGAAACCAGTTTATAGTACTATAAATAATTTGTAGCCTTTAAATATTCTTGTCTTACTTTTAGAATGTAGCTCATGAAGTTGAAACCAGTTTGATTCTTAAAGTCTTGCTTTTTAATATTCGTTAAGTAGAACTGAGTTGTAAATGTTCCCCACTGTTGCAGCAGTAATACCCTTCTGCATATTCTATTAAATAAATGTTTTATGAATCTTGTGATTTTCCTAGTCTGGTTAACAGAAACCGATTTTGCTTCGGGTCCTCTGTGATTGCTGGAGACTGTTTTCTCTTAGTCTTTTGGGTGGTTCTTTTCCCAGTCTTAGGTGGTTTCCTTATAAGAATAGTTTGATGAATTTGCAGGTAGGTTACACAAGACAGGAGCCTTACACACCCCACTGGTCCTCTCTGTGTGCAGCTTCTCTCCTTTCTAGCACCCAGAATGTCAACTCAAACTGCCTTAAGTTTCCAGACTCTAAGCTGTGTCACCTCAACCCAGGACAGCTTGGTTCTTTCTTCCTGTTCCATGGTCTGGGCTCTCCTTTAAGGCAATAAGCTAGGATAATTGTCGGGGTCACAGTGCTTGTTTTATCTCTCAGAGAGCACTGTCCTTTGTTGCTCTATATTCAGTGCATTGAAAAAAATCTTCCTTCTAGAAATTTTAAATTATATTCGCTGAACCATTATATAATTTTTCATGTTACTAGATTTGTCTGTTTACCCAACTAATAATCTTCTTTATTTAGTTTTCTCTGAGGAATATCCTTGTTATGAAGTAAACATGGATTGGAAAATCATCAGTGCTAATTATTTGTTATTTCTGAATAATTTACTCAAGTCACCAATGATTTCAATTTCTAGGTAAGTTTCAGAATTCAAATTTCAGATCTTAATTTGACTATTATCTTAAGATAAGCAACACCTAAGTTTAAGGTATGTAAACTATCAACTTTAAGATCTTGATTTTGATATTAACATGGGGTTTATATTAAGTGTTCAGTAAATATTTAATACAATGCATGACACATAGGTGCACATTTTCTTGATTTTTAAAAGGAGAGATGGATTTTTATAATAAGAATTTACCCTCATAAAAGGACCGAGGGTCATGGTTTTGTGCCTCCTTTTTGATCAGCATTTTGCTATAGAATCTTTGATCAAAAACATGCTTTATAATACTCCAAAATTTAGGCTTCTATTTGGAAAGTAGTCTTTTCTATGGTCTTAGGTTTCATAAACAAAATTTAAGATTTAGATTCTTGTAGTTGTGGAGACTTTTGGGAGAGAAGTGATCTTTGGAATAAATTCTGCCAGGGTATTTGTTGTTGTTACATGCTGTTGAGGCAGTTCCAACTCATAGCAACTGTTTCCGAGGAGCAGCTGGTGAACTTCAACTGCCGACCTTGTGATTCAAATTGGCCTTGCAATCTAGCACATTAATTCACAGCACCACACCAGGACTTCGCCAGATTATTTACTGTACTAATATTTCAGCTTATGTTATGAAAGGGGTATATTTTTTATGTATAATAATGGTGATTGCAGATAATTTAAAGTCACACTTGCTTGTTTCAAGATTTGCGGACTACAGTTGGGGAGAGATTTTAAATGACAGCAATGGTCATGGTGGTTGTGGTTGTGGTTGTGGTTATATGTTGCAGAGTTGGTTATAACCCACAGGGACCCTGTACAGGGTTTCGGAGGCTGTAGATCTTTACAGGAGAAGAAAACTGTATCTTTTGCCCATGAAATGGCTGGTGAGTTTGAACCGCTGACCTTGAGATTAGCAGCCCAACTCATAACCCACTATTCTACCAGAACTCCTCAATTACAATAATAGCTTTAAAACTTGAGAATGAATCAGACTTATCTGTGAAGTTTGCTGAAAATACCATTTCTAGGCATACTAAATCCTTCCCTGTTTGCAGGACACGGATGTCAGTATGTTTGACAGGTTTTACAGATGATTATGATGCACTCAAAAGCTGGAGAACCGTTCTAGACCTGTGATTCGTCACTCCTGTGGAATCTTTTTAAGCCCATGGCTTGGTGCTGTAGGCTAAGCACTGGACTGTGAACCACAAGGTCAGGAGTTTAACCCTACCAGCTGCTCAGAAACCCTATACAGGCTCTCTATGAGTCAGAATTGATTCAACTGACTGTCTTCTAAAGCCATTGCTTATTCTACTGTGAGAAACGTTGTCTATACTGACAAACGCTCAAGTAATTCAATCTGTACTCATTTTAGTGAGAGTGAGGTTTTCTGTATTTGATTTTGCAAAATTGGGTGCTCAACCCAGTAGACATGCCACATGGCCTGACACAAATGGTTTTTATTCTTGTCTCCAAAAAGCTGTTCCTCCAGTTCCAGCTCCCCTTATACAATTCTGTGGCACATCCCATTTTCGCTCCCCTGAGAAAAGCCAAAATGGCTTGCCCATTGTCTTAATGGCTGTATTCTTATTTAAATTTCCTGGTCCTAGAACAGCCAAGTTATAGATCCCTCCCTGTATGTAATCTGGATCTGTTTACCATGCCTAGCAATCTCATGAATTCCTGAAGATGGACCACGCTCCCAAGAGTTATTTCTGACACTACTGTTCTACACCAGTAGTCCAACAACAACATTGTTGTTGTTATGTGCTGTGGAGTTGGTTCTGACTCATAGCGACCCTGTATAAGGTTTCCTAAGGCTGTAAATCTTTATGGGAGCAGAAAGCTTCATCTTTCTCCCGCGGAACGGCTGGTAGTTTCAAACTGCCGACTTTGAGGTTTGCAGCCCGATTCGTAACCATTATGAGGGTGAAACTTTGAACCAACCTATAAGGCTTTCTGCTCTCATGAAGATAAATGCCTCAGAACCCCCCTATAGGGTCACTATGAGTTAGAATCGACCAGATGGCACTAAACAACGACAATGACACTATAGGACAAGCACTGGACTACAAGGTTGGCAGTTCAAACTCACTTGCCACTCCTCAGAAACTCTGTACAGTGTCCCTATGAATAGGAACCAACCCGAGAGCACACAGCAACAATGGTATCATGAAAGGAAGAGTTGGTGATACAGCCAAGAAAACACGATGGAACAGTTCTGTACTGTACCACATGAGGTTTCTATGAGTCAACTTGGCACCAACTGCTTTTTAAAGCTGTAAGATCAGCACTGGACTTTGAACCACAAGTTTGGCAGTTCAAACCCACCAGTTGCTCCTAGGAAACCCTGTACAGGGTTGCTATGAGTGGGCACAGACTCAACAGTGCTTAACAACAACAATAAAATTAGAAGAAATGACAATGGAATAGACTCTCTTGAAAATCGGCCCTTTGTTCATTTTCGATGTGTAATTTCTCACTTTCTTGAAATTCTCAAATGTTTGATAGCCCTGGGAAGAAAACCCAAAGACTCGACTGCATATGCTCCATGGGCCTTCTCAGTCTTATATCTGTAGTGCAGATGCCCTAGCAGCTGGCACAGCAGCCTTCATGACAGATGTTAGATAACTAGCTGTTGATTTAGCAACAAGATCACTTTAAAAAAGAGTGGGCATGAAGCACAATTACAATGAGTTAAATTCTGATGTGGCGCTGTATGATAAGCACTAGACAGCGGCTCCTCAGAAACCCTATTCAGTGTTGCTATGAGTCAGAACCAACTTGATGGCACTTAACAACAAGCTATTTATAGAAGATTTCTGACCAAAAAGGGGAAAATCAATAAACAGAATTTCAAAATGTCATGGACTCCAGATTTTATGGAGCTATGGAGGCTAGATGAATCTCCAAAACAATTGCCCTAAGATAAGCTTTAAACCTTAAAACAAGCAAACAAATAAAATCCCAAAAAGACTCCTGAAGTCTTTCTAAAACCAAGTAAAAATTTTAACATAGCGGTTACAAATCGGGCTGCGAACCACTTAGTCAGCAGTTCGAAACTACCAGCTGTTCCGCAGGAGAAAGATGAGGCATTCTGCTCCCGTAAAGATATATAGCCTCGGGAACCCTGTACAGGGTGGCTATGAGTCGGATCCGACTCCACGGCACTTATCAACAACAACAACAGTCAGTCTGTTTGAGCATTATGCTTTCTTAATGTCTATCTGTATGGGAAGGCACAGCAGCAACTGGAAAGTTTAAATGAAAAAATTAGCAGCCAGTGAGTTTATGTTAATGGAAGAGAAACACTTAGAAAACAAGGATAAGAATGGTTGTACAATATGAGTAACATAATCAATATCACTGAATTGTACATGTGGAAACTTGAATTGGTATATGTTTTGGATTTGTATATTCTCAGCAACAAAAATAACTAAAATACATTACTTAAAAAATGAATTAAGCTAAACTTGAAATGAAAAGACTTGTCATTCTCACACTATAGTGTAAATGGACTCAACCACAGCAACAAGTGTGAGGTTGGCCTGGGGCCAGGTAGTGTTTCCTTCTGTTATGCATAAGCTTGTGGTGAGTTTGTACCAACTCCATGGCATCTAACAACAACACTAGAGTGAATCTTCTAATAAAAAACATTCATTTTTGAAGTTTCTTTTTCCAGAAATGAATAATGTATCCTTTTAAAGACTGTTGTAGAAATTAACTAAGATCAGTATTGAAAGTGATTTATTGACATCAAGTTTTTCCTGACTCATAGAGACCCCAGGCTTCATAGGGTTTTCTTGGCAATAATCTTTATGGAAGCAGATCACCGGCTTTTCTTCTGCAGTACCTCTGGGTGGGTTCAAACTCTAAAAGCTTTAGGTTATTAATATTGTTGTTGTTAGGTACAATCGAATCAGTGTGAATCATAATGATCCCATGTAGAGTTTATGAGGCTAAAGGTCTTTACAGGCACAGAAAGCTTTATCTTTCTTCCCTGGAGCAGCTGGAGGATTTGAACTGTTGATCTTCCACAGTACCACCAGTGCTCCTCCTTTAGATATTAATTACTGTTGTTGTTAAGTACTTGATTCCATTTCAACTCATAGTTTTATTAGACAAATAGAAATAATTTATGCCACCCAGACACTTGAAAACTACAGAGTCATGTAAAAGCATGTAGCAATATCCGGAAACCCTTTATATGGTTACTGTGAGTTGGAACTGTCTTCACAGTACTTAACAATGGTAACAAGAAACACTTATTCTGCCTCAATTGTCACAACTAGAGCTATTTTCTTATTCTTCTAGCTCTTCATATAAAAATTTACAGTTTTTATTCTTCTCTATCAGTGCAGGTCACTTGCATTGCGATTATGCATTTACTTCTAGACAAGAATGTGAATTAGGCAAGGTTTATGCTAGATTTCGACTAGCATAGCTTTCTCTTTCCTAATGAGAATTTTTCTCAGGAAATGTTTTCAATGTCCTGTGCTTCAAAGTAGCTATTCCCTGTCCTACAAATAATAATAAACTATATTAAGCCTGTAATCTTTCTGTGCTCAGATCTCAGCTATTAAAGAGGAAAATAACATTCTTATATTTGATCTTTCATACCTACCACTCATTACACAAGAGAGACAAAAAGCTTAAAGATATGTAGAATGTCAAATTCATGCTTTAAGGCATTCAAAGCTATGCTGAAACTGCACTAAACAGGGGGCAAGGTGGGAAACCCCCACCTTTATCACTAAATATATAGTCAGGATCACTATTAATCCAACTCCCATGTGGACATGGAACCAAGAGCCTTGTCACCAGTTACATCTCTAGCACTTTCTCTTTGACCCTAACCATCCAGAATTGGATCCAACTTCATCCCTGGCCAACTGGGTACAAGTCATTGGATACCAGCCTTATGCTCAGGAATTTGCACATGGCCCTGAACTTCAAACCAACTGTTCATCTCCTCATACACTTCTCTAACTTCCCAGGATTAGTTCACGTGCTAGAAAGACTCTATTCTTCTCAATAGACAGTGCAACCAATCCCTGACCCAGAGCTGGGTCTTCACAAGTCGGCACTTTGTCTTGCCAGCCCCTGTTAGTTCACTGATCCCTGTGGGTTCGTCATTTCCCTCTAATGGCTCACAAAATGCATGGAGACTGTTACCTAATCTTATTCTTGTTAGGTGCCATCGAGTTGGTAACAACTCATAGTGACCCAGTGCACAACAGAACGAAACACTGCCCTATCCTGGGGCAACCTCACTATTGTTGCCATGCTTGAACCCATTGATGATGCCATTTTGCCAATCCATCTCGCTGGGCGTCTTCCTCTTTTGCTCTGACCCTCCACCTTACCAAACAGGATATCCTTCCCCAGGGACTGGTCCATCCTGATAATAAGTCCGAAGTAGGAGAGACAAAGTTTGGCCATCCTGGCCTCTAAGGAGCACTCTGGCTGCACTTCTTCCAACACAGATCTGTTGGTTCTTTTGGCAGCCCATGGCACTTTCAGTATTCTCCTCTAACACCATAACTCAAATGCATCAATTCTTCTATGATCTTCCTTATTCACTGTCCAGCTTTCACATGCATATGAGGTTACCGAAAATCCCATGGCTTCAGTCATGCACAACTTAGTCCTCAAGCTGACATCTTTGCTTTTCAACCCTTTAAAAAGGTCTTGTGCAGCAGATTTGCCTAATGCAATATGTTGTTTGATTTCTTGACTGCTGCATCTGTGAGTGTTGATGGTTGATCCAAGAAGAATGAAGTCTTTGACAACCTCAATCTTTTCTCCGTTGATCAGAATGTTGTTTATTGGTCCAGTGGTGAGGATTTTTGGTTTCTTGACACTGAGATGCAATCCATACCGAAGGCGTGGTCTTTGATCTTCCTCAGTAAATATTTTAAGTCCTCTTCACTTTTAGCAAGCAAGGTTGTATCATCTGCATATCGCAGGTTGTTAATGAGTCTTCCTCCAATCCTGATACCACATTTTTCTTCATATAACTCAACTTCTCAAATTATTTGTTCCGCATACAGGTTGAATAAGTATGGTGAAAGAATACAACCTAAGTTTACAGTTCTCCATTTATTATAACCAGAAAAGATGCAAGTGAAGAGACACAGGCCTGAGAGAAATAGTAGCATGAGACTTCCACTGTTCTCAGTACTAATTACACTCTCCTGTGCTTGGATGTTCTCACCAATCAGAAAGCGCCCCAAAGAAATTCTAAGTTCCTCACTCACCTCGTTTGAGTTGATTCCTTCTCCTAGAAATAGAAATGAGGAGCAAAAAGCGTCATCTTTCTCCTACAGAACAGTTGGTGGATTTGAACCACTGACCTTGTAAGCTCAGTGTTTAACCTACAGTGCTGCCTTTTCTTAGGTTCAGTTTTCTTATAATAGTCATTGGGACTCAATGCACATGCTTAAGCCAATGAATATATGTGAATGATGGCTCCATGCCCCCTCCCTTTCTGACACCGATTGATTGCCAGAGTGGCTTTGTGAACTGCTGTTGCTGTTAGGTGTTGTTGAGTCAGTTCTGACTCATAGCAATTCTGTGTAGGGTTTTAAAGGAGTGACTGGTGGATTTGAACTGCCAACCTTGTGATTAGCAGTTCAGTGCTTATCCTACAGTGCCACACCAGGGCTTGTGTAGTTCTTACTTATCTACACATGTTTAAGGGCTAATGTGTCAGACTGCAAAGTCCTTTGAATTGCAAGACTGATGGTTCAAGGTCACCAGCTGCTCCTTGGAAACCCTATACAGGGTTGCAATGAGTGGGAATCGACTTGATGACACTTAACAACAACAACAGTAAGTATTGCTTGGCTGTTTTAGAAAAACAAAGACAACTTGATTATTCAGGAAATTCCAAGGACTATTTTCCAGAAACCAGGATAAAAGCCAAATTGACTTCTTTGTCACACACAATAACAAATACAGGTTACAATCCCTTATTTATAATTCTGGAATTTTAAAAACTCCCAAAATTTGAAGTTTTTCTTAAGGTTGACATCAAGACTAATTTATCTGAAACTTTATCTGAATTAAGGTGCAGCTAGTTGAGACTGTTGATTCCAGTGAGTGAGAATTCTCACACATTTCACTGGAAGTGTTAATGTGTTGATGTATCCTTAAACAGTCTCTCATTGTTGTTGTTAAGTGCCCTGGAGTCAGTTCTCACCCATGGCAACCCTGTATAGGAGTGACTGGTGAGCTTGAACTGCTGATCTTGAGAATCAAACTGACTGTAATCCAGTGCGTTAACTTACAGCGCCATACCAAGACTCCATTGTTGTTAAGTGACATCAAATCAGTCCCTACTCATAGAGAAGGTGTATAGGATTTCTGAGGAACAGCTGGTGAGTTTGAACTGCCACCATGAGGTTTAAATAGACCTTGTGGTCCCACCTCTAGTGCCACACCAAGACTCTCCAGTCTTCTATGTTGTTGTAAAGTGCCATTGAGATGGTTCCGACTCATAGAGAACCTGTATAGGGTTTCCAAGGAGTGGTGCCTGGTGAGTTTGAACTGCCAACTTTGCAGTTCAAACTGAACTTGAGGTTGAGTGCTTATCCTACAGCACCACACCAGGACTGCCCCAGTCTCCCATGTTGTTAAGTGACATCGTGTCAGTTCCGACCGACCCATAGTGAACCTGTATAGGGCTTCTGAGGAGCAGCTGGTTAGCTTGAATTGCCACCTTGAGGTTCAAATACACCTTGGTTTTTCCTACAGGCCACACTAAGACTCCCCAGTTTCCCATTTGTTGTTGATGTTGTTAAGTGCCTTTGAGTCACTTCTGACCCATAGTGACCCCTATATAGGGTTTCCGAAGAGATGCTGGGACATTAATTTATACCTCTTACATGTGCTAATTACCTTTCTAATTAATGTCAGAAAATATATCCCTAAAGTAGAATTATACATATAAGTTACAGGAGAGTTAATAATTTCCAGTAATATGGAGTTCTGCTCCTGGGTAGAATCATAGTAACTTCTGAGTTATTCCTCTAAGAGCATTTTGTATTTTAAACATAAGTAGCCATAGAAAACAATCTGAAACAATGAGTTTCTAATGGGGAACTTTATAGCCATAGTGAAAGATCACTGGACTTGCCTTCTGGCAATCCCAACAAGTTTCCTGAAATTGTGGAGGCCCAGTTTTTGATGTGTCCCAACATGTGTTGGTCATGTATAGCTCTGGACATTTTAAAGCACAGTACAACATTGAATACTAAGATTCTTCTGGCATAAATAGCAAAGTTATTTCTAATAATCATACAGAGGAACATGGAAAAAATAAATGAACAACGAATTGTTTTCCATTACAGGAAACACATTTTAAACTATACACAAATATACAACTGAATTGTGGATTTGTACAATATTTTCAAACATTCATATTTGTTTCATTTTTGTTGGTAAATAGGTTGTCTATTTAACATTTGATTTACATTTTACTATAAATATGGTAAAATATAGTAAAATATAAGGAGCTCTGGTAGCATAGTGGTTACGAATCGGGCTGCGAACCTTAAGGTCAGCGGTTCGAAACTACCAGCTGCTCCGCGGGAGAAAGATGAGGCTTTCTACTCCCGTAAAGATTTACACCCTCGGAAACCCTGTGCAGGGTCGCTATGGGTAGGAACCGACTCGATGGCACTTAACAACAACAACAACATAAATATATCAGTATTGTATTGGAAATGTATTTGAATTTGTCTTGAATTAATTTTGTATTACTAATGCTAAAACAATTCTGTTAATATTGCAGGATCTTCAATTCCACAAAAGATCTTCTAATTATGGAAAACAAGTTATATACCCTTGAGGATGAACAAATGAATTATATTTTAGCATTTGTGGAATTTGGGGAGAAATTATTATTGCCTAAACCTTTTAACTCATCCAGTGTTCCCAAATATTATACCCTCCCATCTCTCACTGAGATTCTGGCTGATACTCGCCTTTCGTGGATAAATAGTTTAAAAAGTTCAAAGAGAGACCCACCTGCTGCTGATACTCAGAAACTTTTGAAATTTGGCAAAGTATTGATAGAAAAAATACAAACTCTCGAAAATCATTGGATAAGGAAGGCATCAGGAAATATTTTTAGATACATAGAATTAATACTTTCTGGAATTAATCCCAAGCTACTGGAGTTGTGGATGTATGACTTTTTGGAAAGAGAAAGAGCTAAATTGGAAGTCTTGCCTATACTTTTTAATTCTTCTATTCCAGATAATGAAAAGACTGTTAGTGAAAGCTTTAACTTTTCCCAGTTGTTCCATTCAGACTGGTCTAAAACACCAGCAGGTAACATTGATTTTGTGCATTTAACTCAAACAATAGTAAGTAGTCTCTATGAATTTGGATTTGTGAGTGAGAAACAGGTTTCAGAAGCTCTGGACATAGTCCATGCTATAAGGAATGCATCTGATCTTTTCTCAACCCTTTCTGAATCTCAAAAACAAGAAGTTGGTAAAATTTTGAGTCATATATTCCAAAATGTCATCAAGGACAAGGATTCAGCTTTGCTTCTGCAGATTTATTTTTCATTTTACCAACACATACATAAATTCTTCTTGAGCATTCAGAATAGAGACTCTTTGCGCACCTTCCTTACACAATTCTCAAAACACAGTTTAGACATTTTAAAGCAATTTAATTTCCAAAACATCAGCGGAGCGTTTGCATTTTTATCTGAGACAATAGGAATTCTTGGTAGAATTTCTGAAGTACCTTGTTGTCAGCAATTGCTTTCCATTTTTCAGTATTTGGAACTTCAAGCTCAGTCCCTGAGATTCACTGAGGATCAAGGCTTGGAAACAATCCATACTACTTTGAGTAACCTCAAACAACTGTTCATAGTAGATGAAGATTTTCGTATTTCTATATTTGAATATATTAGCCAACTCTTAAATGTTTCAATAGAAGCCCTGCTAGGTAATGAATGCTTTGCTTCGCACAATGAAAATATTTCTTCTCTAAATTATCCAACAGATGTAGTATCTTCACTTGTTCTGCCACGGGCAAAAAATCTTTTAAACCTTTCAGCAAATGGCAGTACACTCAATGAGTTTATGTCCATTCGCTGCACCATTTCATGGCTTCAAATGTGGATGGAAATCTGTGGAAACATATCTCAACTATTCAAGTTTGAGACAAATGTGTTCACTTCTCTCCATATTGGTCTCAATCAGTTTTTGGATGAAGTGGAAAATAATGTGAAGCTTTCTAGTAGCTGCCAGGGAATATTTTCAACCAACAACCCTGCTGTACTGCTATTAAATCTGCTTAAGACTGTAACTGAAGCTGATGGTTTCCATGACTGGAATGATTTCCTGAAACTCAGAGAACTATGGGTAGCATTAGATGATGTATTAGATATGGTAAAATCACTTCACCCTGACAAAGTAGAGCAGTCCCTTTTAACCATGGAAACCACCCTACATCAGTTAAAGACATTTCCTTTGACTACAAACATAAGCAAAGAGTTTTTATATTCTGTGCTTGAAATTTTCTTCAAGTTGAGCAATGCCTCAGAATATAGATACAGCAATGTACATGTGCCAAGTCACTTTCTTTCAAATAATCTAACAAATTTTGGAGCAAAGTTTCAAAGTGTTATCCCTGAACTAAGAGAGATAATATTATTCCTTAGAAATGTATCTCATGACCAAGATTTGCTTTCCTGTGTTGATGCTTTCCAAAACGTTGCTGAATTTGTTTTTGAAGATGGCTTATTATATGTAAATACTTCACAGTGGACAGTACATATTCTGGCTCTGTTAAATTCAGCATTTTCCTCTGACAACATAACTCGCAGATTGAAAGGATGTATTGACTGGGTGGATATCATAAACCATTTGCATGTTACGTATAACTCCAATATTTCGCAAGGTCATCTTCAAGGAATTTTGAGGAATTTTAGAGATAGAGAAAACAAAATAGCCACTGCAATGAAACTTGTTACTTGGGTGTTAAATATGAAGGAACCTTTTTGCTCATCAAGTAGGTCAAATATAAATTGTCTGAGTATTTCCCTGAAAAATGTATATGACTTCCTAAATGCTATACTTACATTAGTCTTAGAAAAAGAGATAGCACCAGAATTTGATATTCTATTAAGTTTTTTAAATAATTCAACAAATCGAGTAAGGATGATTATCAGCAACTTAATACAAGACTTTGATTTTGTATTTCAATCTAACTGGACACATTTTGCTAAATTGATTCTGAGACATATGGAAATGCCAGATGAACTTCCTCAGCAATTTCAAAATATTTGGCTACACTTAATAGCTTTGGGAAAGGAAATTCAGAAACTTGTGAAAGATATTGCTCCTAAAATCCTGCAAAATACTTTTTCTTCTATAAGTGAAAAGTTTTTAAATGTTTTTACCACCAGTCCAAAAGAAAAAGACTTACACAGTTTAGAAAACTCACTTTATCATTTTGCCAGTGACCTTGTCTTTAACCTATCATATCATTTTCAAAATTCATCAAAAATATTTCCACATGAAATCAAGAAAGCTGTGAGTCTTGGTATTCAACTGGTTAGGGATGTTTTCAGTTCCTTAATGCCCACAGTTCATCATGATAGTTTACAAAATACAGGCAGTATTAAAGCTTTAAAGAAAGTATCTTTTCTCATGCACACTCTCAAGAAGACAGATATAGAACTTTTTGTAGATAAACTTGAAGAGATCAGTGAAAACCTAATGGATTTTTTCGAGAATATCAGTAGATTAGATTCTGATAATTTGGGGGCCAACTTGCTTGTTGGCTTAATGGAAAAATTTGTAAAGAGCTCACATCCTTGGAATGTAAAGCACTTGTTGAAGCTCTCATATTTGCTTACTAAAGATGATGTTAATGCCCTGGTAGACTTGTACTTTGCGCTTCCTCATGCTGTGAGTCTCCTACAGAGGCTAGATGGCAAAAACATCACAGAGACTCTCAAGGATGTTTACAACTTCACGCTCTTTCATGGCATAACCATTTCAAGCATTAGCAAGGAAGACTTTGCGATTGCAGTGAAAAATCTTTTGGACATAACTGAACTAATACTTGATAAACCAGGAATTGTTTCAGAAGCTTTAACTTGCCTTCCTGAGTTTTGGTGCTGGAACCATACAGCATATGAATTTCAGCAGAACCCCAAATTAGAAGCCTGTAATGCCCAGAAATTAATTTTTCCTTTCTTTTATGAAAAAGTAACTGGTATAATTGACCATCTCCACTTGTCTCTCACAGATAGAAATTTGCAATGCTCAAATAAAAGTTCCAGGATGGAATTAACTAGGAAAGTAGTTTGTGTAATTCATACATCGGTGGACTGGAATTCCATCCTTCTAGAAATGTTTGAAGTCTTCCACATTAAAATTTCTTTTGTGAAAACTATACAAGAATTTCTGCATAAGGTGTTACCATATGTCATGTCTTCTGAAATTTATAATAATGGCAGCATGTCTGAATTTTGTCCTGGTGGCTCCATGAAGCAAGTTGCTTTGCAAATCATAAAAATATTTAAAGATGTTAACTTTACAAAAGTTACAGCAGCTGAAAAATTTTTTGATAGCCTGGCTAGTTTAAACAAGATCCTTCACATAAATGAAGGTCTAGAGGTGCCTGTTCCAAGTAGTAATTCTTCAACCTTCAAAAGGATAGTAGAAAAAATTTCTGGTGTCTTGAGCCAAGAAACTAGTTTGAATTCTCTAGTCTCTCCATTCATTCTGTTTCTGGATACAAAGCCTATGGAAAGTATTTTAGAAGCATTATCAAATCTTTCAAATGAAAGTGAAGCACCTTACAACTTTGAAGAACTGTGGCTTCAGTTTGAGCAAACCATGAAAGACCTAAGACATAACTTTGATATCAGTCATCTGACCTCTGTAATTAATGAACAAATTAAAATAATTAATTTAGTGGCTCCTCAAAATCCAATTTTGCAATTTCCCCAATTATTGGAAAGGTTAAATTCATCATCATTGAAGATATTAGAAATTATTGAAGATTTTCTAGTGAGCACAGGAAACTGGCTTTATAAATATGCAATTAAAAATTACTCTAGAGTAATACAAACATTATTACCTCTTATGGCCAATGAGAGTTCAACTGATCACACAGCTTTGTTGGCTAGAGGTATTACGGTCTTTTGGAGCTACCTCAAAAACATTTCTAAAGAAGGTAATTTTGATGTTCTCCTCCTTACTGATCTGCTAAAGCAACAACAGCTAACTAATTTCTCTATTGTTCCATTGCTTTTGGAAAGCATCATAATTAATTCAATCAGTAACTTGTCTGGGAATTCTCAAGAAGCTGCCTTGAATTTAAGTGAAACTAACTTTCAAATAATGAATTTCATTAACCTCACCTTGAACCATATGCAGTCAGAAAATGATGGAAAAATAATTTTCCCTCTAAGAAGCACAGTGGATTTCATGGAACAGCTTATGAAAACATTCTTTTCCTTTTTTCCAAAGGAAAATTCTAGGAACAAACTATCTCTTCTTCTGAAAGACTTAAACAAATATACCATTGCAGATATGAGGTGAGTCTACTTTGCCTTTGTACATTTCATGTGGTTTGTATACATTTCATCCCACATTAATTGGCAGAGAACATAAACAATACCAGTACTTGGAATTACTCTGATCAATAATAACAAAACAACAACCATAACATCCAGGCAAAAACATTTGTTTAAAGTTAAAACAAAAACAAAATAGAATTTTCCCTAAATATTGTGAAGGGTACTTAAAGGAAGTTTTTGTTGGCAGAGGTAAGAGATCTGGAAGAAACTCCATTATTCCTGCTTCATGTTGCAGTATCTGCACTTGTATGGGAAAAGAAAATAAGTCTTCTCAGACTCAGTACTTATGCAACATTAGATCTTACCTCCAATTAGAATCATATGCCAGCTGAAAGTAAATGCTGCAGTTAAGTTATTTACCAGTCTTTCAATCTTTCGTTTTTATGTCATGAGGACATTTGTGGTTCAGTGGTAGAAATCCTGCTTCCCACATGGTAGACTATATGCACTATATGAACCTATATGCCACCACCTGTCTTCATTGGAGGATTGATTGTTGTTATGATGTTAACACAGATTTCAGCAGAGCTTCCAGGTTAAGCTGGGCTAGGAAGAAAAGTCTAGAGATCTTACTTTCAAATTCAGACACTGAAAACCTTATTGATTACAGTGGTCTGATCCCATTGTGCATGCTATGAGTCTGGCCAACTCATTGACAGCTAACAAAGCTTTACATAGCAACAACAAATGTATCGTAAAAACTGACTAAAGGTGAAATTGCAGAAAAGTAGAAAAAGGCAGTTATCTAAATGTGTGTGTGTGTTTTTTTTTTTTGTCAGAAAATTTACAAAACATAGTGTAGATTACTGAAAAATAGGCCTAGATGTCCACCTGAGCTGGAGATGGGAAATCCGGAGCATGCAATATTCCAGCTGAAAGGCATCTTTTCTTGAGATCTTGTTAGATATATAGATCCCCAGGCCTGTCCCAGAACTTCCCATCAGTGTTTCCATTTAACAAGAGCCCCAGGAAATCCTTAAGTACAATGTAACTTCAGAAATGTTGTGCTAGACCAAGTTCCTTATTTTATAGTTTGGGAAAGCAGGACTTGAAGAAGTTCAGTATCTTGCTTAATGAAACAGCAATGAAAGTGACCACTAAAAGAAGCCATTGGTGACCATACAAGGAAAATCTATAAAATAACCTCTTTTGTGCCCAGGTCAACGATCATTTAGGTACAATTAAAGGTTTAATAATTAAAACGCAACAATTTACCAAAATTTATATCACCTAATGGTGATTTGTTGTTGTTATGTACTGTGGAGTCGGTTCCGACTCATAGCGACCCTGTACAGGGTTTCTGAGGCTGTAATCTTTACGGGAGCAGAAAGCCTCACCTATCTCCCGTGGAACAGCTGGTAGTTTCAAACTGCTGACCTTGCGGTTCACAGCCCGATTCATAACCACTATGCTAATAAAAAATGTTTTCTTTGGCTAGAAATAAAAGTAACATGTAGGTTTGTCTTTCTCACATGTGAGTGAAAAGCAATTCAGCAGGAATTATCCCCTCCAAACACTGTTTTCCAATTCAATTTTCATTATTACTTAAAAATCACTTTATTTTATTGTTTCATTTATAGCTGTTCTATGCTGTGCTCTTTGGGCTGTCCACTTTAATATTTAATATTTTTATTTTTGGTCAAAAGTATTGAATGGTTTTGTAATCTCCTTAATCTCCGGTTAGCTTGTGTAAGTATGAAGAAGCAACAGTTTTCATTATCTCTAGAATTACAGTGCCATGGTCTACAAATGTATTAAATATTAAAGGTACTTTTGTCTTGTTATATACACAGACTGCCACCAAGCTAAAATTTGTACATTAACATATGATAATTGCATTCTTTAAGAACTAGCTGGGACCTCTATAACAGAAAAATAATACTCCAATGGGAGAAAATCCATTCATTTTTCTTCTGGCTAATTTAAATTTAAAATAACATGTTGTAAAAATGTTGAATTGCATAGAGAAATCAATCCTTACTTTGTTACCAGAAAGCTGTGGTTGGTATTGTTACAGTGTTCTGACCTCTCTAGGAGAGACTTCTAATACTTCTGGGTCTGTTCATGTTTTCTGAGCCTTGCCATGAAATATTCAACATTCTGAGAAGTTGTTGTTTTGTGTTAAATTTATATTTAACAGAACATTTGCCACTTTAACATTTTTTGCATGTACAATTCAGTGACATTAATTATATTCAGTATGTTGTTAACCATCACTATTACCTGTTTCCAAATGTATCCATTGCCCTTAACAGGAGCTCAGATTTAAAGGTGGTAAACCTTTTAGAAAAGCAAAGAGTCTGATTTTTTTTTTTTTGTAAATTAACCACCAGACCCTAATAAGTATGCTGCCATTCAGGGAGTTTCTTTGGGTAGCATACGTACTTTTAACCAGTTAATCTGAATGCAAATATTTTTATCCTTTTGTTAGAAATGTTTCACAGGTAAATTGTATTGCTTATTATTTTCAATGTTGTCTGATATTTGAGGATTATTTGAGTTTTGGAATGATTATAAACTCATTGAAAGGTGGAATAAAAGCCATTTTTAGATAAAAACAAAAAAATTGTAAAAGCCCACAACATTAACTACTTGAATTACTACGTTCTTTCTCTAGCTGCTTATGGTCTAATTCTGAAGAAGAGCTCATTTATTTTTAACTACAGCAGCTTATTAAAACTTGGTCTGGATACCTGTACTCAAACACCTCCCAGGAAAGTTACAAAAAGACGAAGTGCATTGCATTCCTGTGCACATGCTTACTAAACATTTTGATCAAAGATAGTAGAGGAATCCAGATCAAAGGGAGAAAGGGGAACAGAATCTCAAATTATCATGGACTCTAAACTTTCTGGAACCATTGAGGCTGGATGAACCTCTAAACCCTGTGATAACCTTTAAATCTTAATCCAAAAAATCTACTCAATTTTAAAGAAGATTTAAAATCTTCCTTAAATCAAGCAATGGTTTGATTAGTAAAAAATGTCTGTCTTGAGCATTGTGCTCTTTTAAAGAGCTATTTTATGGACTCAAACTGTCAATGACAACTTGAAAGGTTAAATAGGAACCAGGTAAAGTGCTCATGTTAACTGGAGAGGAGTAGTTTGGAAAAGGGAGATGAAATTTGTTGTACAACTAGAAGAACGTAATCAGTGTCACTGAATTGTATATATGGAATTGTTGAACTGGTGTATGTCCTTATGTGTATATTTTCAACAATAACAAAATGCAGTATATAATTTTTAAAATTTATCAGCCAGTTCACCTGTTAAATTAATTCTCCCTACATAAATAGCAAACTACAATTCCTTTTTTACATTGATTTTCTCAGTTGTTTCTTTTGTTGTTGTTGCCCTTTGTTCAAGAGAACGGACCAAGACAAGAAGAAAAAGTGATTATCAATTTATAAGCAACAGCTTGATGCTCTCAGTTAAAATAAGAGACTTGACAAGTGTCTTTTACAGGACAAGTCTGTGCTAGCTGTGTTTTCCTTGCATCACCATGTGACTGAGCAGGGAGGATGGTTATTACACCTGTGTTATGACTTAGCCTTGAACTCAGTAGAGAGGCAGTTGTGTTACAGAGCTTATCCTTTGATACTATGTTTTATTTTATTTTTCCAAAGTGTTGTAGAAATGTGTCAAGCTTTCCAGCAGCCTGCAGGGTCCTCCAGAGCAATTGCAACTCTGCAGAAAGTGAAGATGTTGGTTGTGCAAGTGTTCACTGTCTTTGCAGGTAGGTTGTTGTTGTTGTTGTTAAGTACTGTGGAGTCAGTTGCAACTCGTAGTGACCCTGCACAGGGTTTCCAAGGCTGTAAATCTTTATGGGAGCAGAAAGCCTCATCTTTCTCCTGCAGAACAGCTAGTAGTTTTGAACTGCCGACCTTGAGGTTAGCAGCCTGATTTGTAGTCACTACGCTACCAGAGGTTGCTAGTTGTTTTGTGTCAATTCTCAGAGAACTCAGCGAACTGCTTTCAGGGAGATGGGGATGCGTCACTGGAAATTTCCTTTAGAATACAGTGCAGCCTTCTCAGCCTTGGTTTTTTAGGTTTTAAGAGACTTTGTTCAACGTTTCTAACATCATTTCACCTCCAGGGAAATGACTGCAGTCCAACTGAAGAACCCCATTTCTGGCCAGTTATGGGACTTTCTAGGCTCTGTGTCTTTGCTCCTGGAATGCACTTTCACCCATTGCCTTGATCTGTAGTCCCCTGTACTTTGTACCCAATCAGAGGGGATCTTTTCCAGAACCATGTCTATGTGTGCTGTTGCAAATGACTTTGAATTCTATCAAATGTGATATTTGATGCTCTCATTTCTTACATCTACTTCTGCTAGAGTCAGGGTTTCTCGATTTGTTTTTAAACTTTTAATTGTGAAATGAATAAAGGTTTATAGAACAGATCATCAATTTTGTATTCAACAAATCATAGACTTCACTTCACTTCAATGATTACAATCCCCTCCTCCATGTAACAGCAGCTGCCCCACTTCTTGTAATTCTGATTTCCATTCAGCCCTCTTTTACAAGCCTTCTGGATGTTGTCCTTAGGCAAATGTTGCCCTTTTGTTCTTGAATGTTTTTGCCTTTACAAGGTCTGCATACAAACTGAGCCATGAGGGTGAGTTCATTTCTAAACCTGAAGGGTGACCAACAGTCATAGTCTTGGGTTCCTTCAGTCTCTTTCTGCCCAGTAAAACTGCTCTTTTTTTTAAAAAAAGAATTTTAAGTTTTGTTCCACATTTTATCCCACTCTATGAAGGACATTCTAATGTGATCCCTATCAGAACAGTTGGGACCCATGCATTATCTAGTTCTCCTGGAATCAAGGTTATAACGACTGATGTTCTCCTCTTCCATTATACTACTGGACCGATTGATTCCAAGCTTATTCAATTTGTATTACTTTCATTTCTTCTTTCCCCTGTACAGGAAGATACCAATAGTTCATGAGCTTTTAAGATCCCAGTCGCTACTCTTAAAGTAGGATTGTCTTTGTTTGGCCAGTTGACCATGGTGCCCTTGAAAGTATGATCCTGAGCTTGCAGACTCCGCAGCTTATTTTCCCAAGGTGTTTGTAACATGTAAGGCATTTTCATAATTGTATGCTTTGTATAGAGGCAAGGTTTCATGAAGGCTAGCATTCGTGTGCTAATCTCCTGTGCATACCCTTCCATGCCTGGCACAGAAGACACATTTTGTCAATGTGTACTGAGTAGATGCATTCCGTTTCCTAAATTTCCAGGATACTTTCTTCATAGTCTTGTTGTTAAGTGCCATAGTGTCGGTTTTGACCCATAGCAACCCTGTGTAGTGTTTCCCAGGAGCAGCTGGTGAGCTTGAACCACCGACCTTGCAGTTCAAACAACTTTGCGGTCTGGTGCATTAACCCGCAGGGCCACACCAGGATTCCTTAATAGTCTTGGCACTTAGCAATTTCAACTTTGGTTTTAGTTCCCTTTTCCTTCAATAGTCTGTAACCCCATTGAGAGCAAGGTCAGTGTCTTACTCAGCAGGTGGAGGTCTTCTTTTCTTCTCCTTCTCTTCTCTCAATTAGAGATGTTATAAACATTGATAATGCTGTCATATGAAATCATTACATACCTAAGCACACTAAATGGAATCAGTATATGGAAGCATGCTCTGATAAAATCCAAGCGTAAAAGTCAGGCAAAAAGTACTGCTTCTAGGGTTCCAGTTCATACATACACAAGTTTATTCCAAACAAAACATGTTGAAACATATCTCTGTGGTCACTTCTGTCAGTAATACATGTGTCTTAGTCTTGATAGCTGCTTTTAAAAAATAAGTTCAATCAAAACAATGACTTCTGAGGGGATCTGCTTGGCCAGTTAAATTCAAGGTAGAGAGACCAATTCAGAATGTCATGGTGATTGTTTTTTCAAATTCTAGAGAGTAATCTTGAAAGATTTTGTTGAAGAACATAAGATAATCACTGGGGCTTATTAGGAAAAAGTTTAAGAAAACTGAAACGCACATTGAGGTGAAGAGGCCAGGAAAGTTGCACTGGGCGCTTTATTCTCTATCACAACAATGCACCATTCAGTCTTCAAGGGTAGCAAACACTGTCCTAGGAAAATTTCGTTGGGAAACTTTACCCTATACACCTCTCCTGATCTTGACCCTTCAGACTTCTTTTTGTTCATCAAACTCAAAGACCATTGAAAAAGGAGCGCCATTTGAGTCCTTCAAGCATGCCCAAACTGTCATTTTGATATGCTGTGAATTAAAGAGTGCAGAATTCTTTGGGAAAGTTTAGAGAGAGGGAAGTGCTGTTTTCAGAAGCGTATAGATAAAGAATATATCAAGAAACAACAGCTTTACATTTTGATATTTTTGTCTCGTGAAGGTTTCTATGATTTTGTAGTAATATTTTTTGGCTTACCTTCATACAGCTTCATTCTGTATTCTGAATACTTACCTGGCCTGAATTCAGTTATGTCTACAGACATAATTATTTTGTTAATTTGATGCCTTTTAAACCAAGTAAACATTCACCAGTACCTGGATTTATATTTATTTTCAGCTCTGTACTGAAGCTGCTAAATTAACGTGTTGTTGTTGTTGTTGTTGTTAAGTGCTGTCAAGTTGGTTCCAACTCATAGTGACCCTGTATAGAGTTTCCAAGGAGTGACTGGTGAGTTTGAACCCCTGACACAGTTTGAACCTTGTGGTTCAAACCGACCTTGCTGTCCGGTGCTTTATTCCCCAGGGCATTAGCATATTTACAGTTAAATTAGTAACAAAACATAATTTTTATTTTTTATAAATCATTTCTAGAAAGCTCAAGCATTTCTTACTCAAGCATGAGTAACATTTAAATTGTCAATCCACTTTCTTATTAAACTGTTACTCATATCTGTAGAATTGGAGGGTAATGGTCTAGGAAAGATACAAGCAATGGAAAATAAAGATGGGGGTCCACTGGACCAACTTGGGAAAATAGTCCTCTTTCATCATGCATAAGTGTCAGGGGTTCAAACCACTACAGTGTCAGGGGTTCAAACTCACCAGTCACTCCTTAGAAACCATATACAGAGTTGCTATGAGTCGGAACCAACTCAATGGCAATTAACAACAGCATCATGCAAAAGGGGAATTGTAAGATTAGTTGCTGTTATTATTGAGAACAAAGTCATTATTGCACATCACCAAGTTTAATTCAGTTCACAACTCGGAAAACTGCTATTTCCCTCCCTCTGATCAATTAGTATAAATAGGCTGAGAACGATCGCAAGCTAGAATAGGGCATAAGGCTTGATAGCCACACACAACCAAAAACAATAAACCACATAAGCACCCATTTTAACCTTCTAACTTCATAAATGGAGCCCTTGTGTGGTACTGTGGGTTAATGCACTGAACTGCAAAGTCAGCTAGAACTACAAGGTCAGCGATTCAAACTCACCAGTTGCTCCTCAGAAACCCTATACAGGGTCGCTATGGGTTGGAACTGACTTGATGACACATAATAACAACAACTTCATGAATTAGAAATTGATGCCCAGAGATGGAGAGTGAGTTACCCAGGGCTTCAGAGAGCAGTATTTGCGATGAAGGCTCTAGGTTTCCCTGGGCTGTGGCTTTCACAGAGTGCAGAAGAGGGTACAGGGAGAGGGTTAGGCCTAGGAAGCCTAAGATGGGTGTGGGAATGCAGCACACAGGAAGAGAAAGAACATGGAGCTAGAGGTTTGAAGACCCAGCATGAAGTAGAGAAAGGGGACCTGATGAGTCAGTGGTAAAAAGCCTGACATGTAACTCTCCAAGGGGACCATACACTTTGTGCTTGAAGGGTGGTGTCTTTGATGTTTGGCTGTACAAAAATGTCACATCCAGAGGTGGCTGGAAGCCAGATGACCTGACAACTTAGTACTTCTTCCCGTACCTTCATTGGCTCAGTGCATCACTACAGAAGTGATGGAGCCTGGCCTCCATCTGGGCAGTTTTCTCTTTTTATTTTACAAGAAACAAGGCTCGAAAGATTTCAAAATTTGTCCAGCCTCACACATGTTAGTATTTTGTTTTTGTTTTTATTAAGTTATGAAGCTTTCTAGACTTGAAAGACATAATTCTAAGTACATTTTTTTATGCTTTGCTCTTAAAAAAGGGGTCTGTTTATGATAAATGCTGTGATGCTTAATGGAATTTTCTTTTTTATTTCACATTTTAATAAAAGATGACAGAAAAGGCAAATTTTATATTATCTAAAATAAGGAGATCTATTTTCTAAATTAGTGAAATGACAGTATCAAAAAGAAAACCAGATGAGGCATCCAGTAGTGTTTTTGAAAAGGAAGGCTTTGGGTCTGTCATATTGCTAGTGTGCTGTACTTGGCCTAAAAACTGAGCCTGAAAATGACTTTTGAGAAACAGTACAATAATGTAGTTTTTCTTTACTTCAAAATGTAAGAGGTTTATTGATTCATAAAAGCATATTGTATCTTCTACAATGGAAAAAGGAAAATATTTATCAGGCGTTTAATATGTACAAAGGAGCCCTTTGTTAGCTTAGTGGGCTATGAGTTGGACTGCTAACCACAAGATCAGCAGTTCAAATCTACCAGCTGCTCTGTGGGAGAAAGATGAGGCTTTCTGCTCCAGTAAAGATTTACAGCCATGGAAACCCTATACCGGGTTGATATGAGTCGGGATCAACTCTATTGCACACAACCAGTACAATATACAAAGCCATGTGCTAAGATCTAGAAGGAGTCCTAGTGTAGGATAAGCACTGAACTGCTAACCACAATATCAGCAGTTCAAGCCCACCAGCCACTTCTCGGAAAACCTACATAGGGTCTCTATGAGTCAGAACAGACTCAACAGCACTTAACAACAACAGGGGCTAGAAATGATATGAACAAAAGAGTAAAAATAAAACCACTGGATTTTTTTCTTACTTATTCCTATGTATTTTGTCTGCGGCCATTCCCTGAATGTGTCCAATCTCATCTAATCTCAGAAGCTAAACAGAGTCAGGCCTGGTTAGTACTTGAATGGGAGACTACCTGGGAATACTGGGTGCTGTAAGATTTTGGAGTCCTGATGTGGTGCTGTGGGTTAATGTACTAGACTGCAAGGTCTGTTTTAACTGCAAGGTCAGTGGTTCAAGCTCATCAGTCACTCCTTGGAAACCCTATATAGGGTTGCTATGAGTCTGAACTGACTCGACAGTACTCAACAACAACAACAACAGTATTTATGGTCCTGTAGGAGATAGTTGCTGTTAAGTGCCGTCAAGTTGGTTCCAACCCATAGCGATCCTGTATAGGGTTTCCAAGGAATAGCTGGTGAGCTCAAACCACCAACCTTGCAGTTCAAAATGACTTCACAGTCCAGTGCATTAACCCAGAGCGCCACACCAGGAGTGGCACTGTGGGTTAATGCGCCAGACTGCAAAGCTATTTGTGTCCATTCCAGAGAGAGATGATACTGTGCAGAAATCATCAGACAATATTATTAACATCACATGCAAGCAAAATCCTCTAAAGAGATTTCAAAAATGGCTGCAACAGTACATCAACTGCCAAAGGTTCAAGGAAGTCTTGAAAAGGACCTGGAATTAAGGTTATCTTTGCTGATGTCACATGGATCTTGACTAGAAGCTGAGAGCACCAGAAATGTCTACCTGTGCTTTGTTGACCATTGAAAGGCTTTTGCTGTGTGGATCAAGACAAGCTATGGATAACATTGTGAAGAATGGGCATTCCAGAATACTTAATTGTTTCTATGAGGAACCTGTACATAGACCAAGAGGCAGTTGTTCAAACAGAACACAGGGACACTGATTGGTTTAAAATCAGGAAAGGTGTACACCAGGATTGTATCCTTTCACCATGTTTCTTCAATCTGTATGCTGAGCAAATAATCCAAGAAGTTGAATTATATGAAGAAGAATTTGGCATCAGGATTGGAGGAAGATTCATTAACAACTTGTGATATGCAGATGATCAAACCTTGCTTGCTGAAAATGAAGAAGGCTTAATATACTGATAAAGATCAAAGACTACAGCCACAGTATTGGTTGCACCTCAATGTAAAGAAAACAAAAATCCTTACTACTGGACAAGTAAGTAGCATCATGATAAATGGAGAATAAATTGAAGTTGTGAAAGGCTTAATTTTGCTTCCATCCACTATCAACACTCTTGGAAGTAGCAGTCAAGAAATCAAATCACATATTGCAATAGGCAGATCTGCTGCACAGACCTCTTTAAAGCATCCAAGAGCAAAGATATCAGTTTGAGGACTAAGATGTACCTGACCAAGGCATGATATTTTCAATATCCTCATTTGGATGTTAAATTTTGATAATAAAGGAGACCTTAGAAGAATTGACTTATTGGAGAAGAATATTGACAATACCCTGGAATGCCAGAAGAACAAACAAATCTGTGTTGAAAGAAGTACAGTTGTTCCTTAGAATACTGTATGATGAGACTTTTTCTCTCATACTTCAGATATATTATCAGAAGGAAATAATTCCTGTTGAAGGACATCATGCTTAGTAGAAAATCAGTGCAAAAGGGCAAGACCTCAAGCAAATGGCTGGACACAAAGGCAGCACCAATGGGTTTAAGAGTAACAATTGTGATGATCGAGCAGGATCTGACACTGTTTTGTTCTGTAGTGCGTAGGGTTATTATAAGTAGGAACTGATTCAATAGCACCTAACAACAACAACAACAGGAGACACTGAAGTTAATACATAAGTAAGATGAGTGCTACAACAGAGCTTTGCATCTACAACAGAGACAGTGGGAAAGAGACAGTGAACTGATGTGGCATCTGAAAAGCAGGTTCAAGCAGAGGAAGCAGCAGCTTAGAGAAGAACGTATCAGGTCACACTGGGGAGAAGAGAAGCAACATGCTGAATAAGTGCAGAGGTGGGAAGGGGGTGGCTTGTGGCAATGGAAGATCTTTAGATGCATCATCCATCCTTTGAACATAGTTATAGAACCAGCGTAGAGAGAACCAATGATGAAGTCTCCTTTTAGGAAGACCTGGTAGAATAGAAGATTAATTGGCTATTGAGATGGGAAACAGGACCACCTTGCAAATTTGGGGAATCCAGAGCTGTTGAGGGTAAAATTGAACAGCTAGAAATACTGTTTGGTTGTGAGGAGTAAAGTAGAGAGTCCTGAATGGTCTTTATGATTTGACTTAGGAGGCCCAATGAAGGGCAAGACCCTAAAATAACCCATTAGCCTGTCATCATTCAAACTGGAATACTTTTGAGAATGAAAGGAGACACTGTTCCTAATTACACCATGGTGATAGGTGCAAACCAGGACTTTCCTGGGTAAACTGGGGGAATGGCTACCCTACCTGAAGGAAGTACAGGAAGAAGGCTCAGTTTAGGGAAGTAGAGAAAGGAACTTAATTTGTAGGATGGTTTTGTGGGCCCAGAAAAACCACAAAGCATTTAATGGATTATTTTTGGAACTCAAAAACACAGTTGTTTTTTCTTTTCTCATTATCTGAATGCTTATCTTGATGATTTAAGAAACTTTTGTGAATTGGTATCATTTTGAATCTTTAACAAATGTTTTTAATGAGTGTGGCTACTTTGGGAGTGGAGTATTTACTAATTCCTTCTTTCTCTATTTCTTCTGGCAGAAAACCCTTCCTTGATTAAGAACTTTCTATGTGCTACTGTGAGCTGCAAGCAAGATGGGATAAGACCTCTTGTTTTAGTTGTTGTGCAAGGCCTCGCTTTGCTGCAGGACCATTATCAGGTTTGTTGTCCTATGTATTTCAGAGAAGTTCATTTTCATTACTATTGGCCAACACAATATTGTATAGCTAAACTATTTTAAGCTTACTGGCTTGGTTCTTACATTTAAATCAACAGTGTTATGCACAGTCATATTGGAAGCGACACCTTCATAGAGATTGCTCAACCTTCTTCCCTCTTATGTTTCCCAGTTGGTGTGATGGTAATGACTAGCACTGACTCTCAAGAGGTGATTGTTAAATTTTTAGGAATTTTCCAAACTGATAGTTAAGCTCATTCATCATTTAAAATCAAATCATATAAATTTGGTGATGGTGGAGGTTATGTGCTGTGGAATCGATTCCAACTCTAAGAGACCCTACATAGAGTTTCTGAGGCTATAAATCTTTATGGGAGCAGAAAGTCTCATCTTTCTCCCATGGAACAGCTCGTAGTTTTGAATTGGTGACCTTGAGGTTAGCAGCCCAACTTGTAACCACTATGCTACTAGATCTCCTTTGTATAAATTTAGGGTTAAATTATATTAAATATAAATAAATAAATACTCAGCTTTTGACTTCCTAGGAATTTTATTGCATTTTACTATTATCTATGTTCTTGAGAGTATTTGTATCTCATATATGTATGGTGGAAATGAAATAGTATATATATAACAGTGTATGTTGTTGTTGTTAAGTGCCGTCGAGTTGATCTAGACCCATAGCGACCCTATATAGGGTTTCTGAGGAGCACCTGGTGAGCTTGAACCACCGACCTTGCAGTTCAAGTGCCACACCAGGACTGACTCCATATATATATATATATGTGTGTGTGTGTGTGTGTGTGTGTGTGTGTAGAATATATATATACATACAGTATAACTCCATATATATGGAGTCCTGGTGTGGTGCTGTGGGTTAATGTGCTGGATTGCAAAATCAGTTTGATCATCAAGGCTGTGGTTCAAATTCACCAGTTGTTCATTGAAACCCTATATAGGGTTGCTCTGGGTTGGAATCAACTTGTTGACACTTCACAGAAAACAAAAAAAAGATATATATGTATATATAACTTACATATATATAGTCCTAGTGTGGAGCTTAAAGATAAAGCAATTGACCAAAAGTTTAGTTTGAGCAACAAGGGGCAATTCAAACTCACCAGCCTCTCCTAGGAAATGCTATACAGGGTTGCTATGAGTTGGAATTGACCCAATGACACTTAGTAACAACAACGTAGTATATATAGTTCTATGTTCAGTGATGTCAAATTAGTAGCTTTAAATAAATCACTTTGGGAGCATTTATACCATGAACATGGACAAATGTTACAGATTGATTTTGTTTTAGTCCCCCTCTGGAAGTCAGGTGTAAACCATTTACCAACCTATCACCAACACTGACTATTTGACTATCCTGGTTAGTGCCAAGAACTGATAGCTCCAGGGGAACCAGCAAAGTACTTTTCCTTTGCTAATTTGGACAAGTGTTCAATAAACTCTCATAGAGCTGGATTGAAGTATGTAGCTTTCATCTGGGTGGACTTTGTGATAATAAAACATTAAAGAGACTCCAGATTTAAAAATAACTGACCCACAGTGGAAACGAGTTCAAATATTTATATGATTTCCAGTAGTCTGACTGGATAAAGTTAGGTCAGTTTTGATAAAGAACATCCACTCTCATTTTTGATGGCAAAAGTAGAATATTGCTTATCTCAGAACACAAAATGTTTAGGATGTGTGTATGGCTCAAGACCTTCATTCAAGTGTGTGAGATTTTGAGAAATAGAAGCTATTTCCAGACTTTGGAATACCAAGTGTCTATACCCAACTTAGATAGGCAAAGGGCACAATGCCAATTTTTTTCCCCCAATACCTAAATAAATATTCAAAAATTTTCAGTTGTTCTTGCTAAGCGCAGTCAAGTCAGTTCTGACACATAGCGACCCTGTTTAGGGTTTCTGAGGAGCAGCTGGTGAGTTTAAACCACCAACCTTGCAGTTCAAGCTGACTTTGTGATCCAGTGCTTATCCTACAGTGCCACACCAGGACTCCAGTTTTCTCAATACTAATGTGGAGTTCTCATTGGAAATGAAAGTTTCAATAATTAAATTGATATGATGTAAGTTCATAGCTGTTAGACCTTTACCCTCATCCACTTATTGTTCTAAAGCCATAGAAAATAAAAACAAGATGCTAAATGGGGGTCAGAAATTAAACTTCAAAAATGACAAAAACACAATTCTGAATATTTACGGGATAAGCTGAATTCAAGAATTTGGTTTGAACCAAAAGAGGCCTACAAAAATGAAGAATGTACCATGCTCCTGGATAGGAAGACTTAACATTATGAAAATGTCAATACTGCCCAAAGCAATTTACACATATAATGCAATCGCAATCCAGATTCCAACAACATTCTTCAAAGAAATGGAAAAAACAATTACAAACTTTATATGAAAGGAAAGAGACCCAGCATAAGCCAAGCACTGCTTAAGAAGAAGAATAACGTTGGAAGTCTCTCACTCCCCGACTTCAAAATGTATTACATGGCTACAGTGGTCAAAACAACTTGATATTGGTACAATGAAAGATACATTGATTAATGGAATAGAATCGAGAATCCAGAAATTAACCCATCCACATACAGCCAACTGATTTTTGAGAAAGGCTAAATATATCACATGGGGAGGTGATAGTCTCCTCAACAGATGGTGCTGGCAGAACTGGAAAG